GGGGGGCCCCCCAGCCGGTGCAGCTGAGCTGCCTGAACCTTCCTGCCAGGAGAGCACATCGGCGCAGAGGGCCGGGGATTCAGGGTCGCTCCTGCGGTCGCCTGAGGCAGACGCTGGACCCGGGTCTGTGCCGCAGCTCACCCGCGGCTCAGCTCGGGGCAGAGGGCTCAGCTGCTGCTGGCAGCCCCTTGCAGAGGAGCTCTCCTGGTCGCAGTGCCTGCCCGGGAGGCTGGGAGCTCCGCCGTGGGGTCTGCGTCCCCGGGGCTTGGCAGAGCAGGGCCTTACAGCAGCTCTTTCTCTCGTAGAAGAAGTCTCCCTCGGTCAATATAATTGAGGTGTAAGTGCAGCACCCGCTCTGTGTCCGGGCTCCTGGTCGTCCCGCCAGAGCCGCGGCAGGCCGTGGAAGAGGAGGCAGTGCCAGACGCCCGCCCTGGAACTCTGCATGCGAAGATCCGCGTATCAGAACTTACGCTTTCCCGAGGGCGCCCGTCGGGGATGTGCATGGAGCCGGCTCCCAGCACGTGGCGCTGCCTGTCCCGCACGCCTGGCCCTGCTCCCTGCCCTGCAGAGCACAGGGCCAAGGTGGGTGCGGGGCACGCTGCCAGCCGGGGGGCAAGCCCCGGGGGAGCAGGGAGGCTGGGGCACTGGCTCGGCTGAAGGCACCGGGCACCCGCCCAGCAGGCAGCCCAGAGCAGCCCTTGCTCTTGGCTTTGGAGCTGGGGGCTGCTCCCCTTTGGCCCTGGGACTGGGGGATGGGGTGGTGCCGGCATTCGCCCCGGTGCTGCCAGGGAAGTTGTGCTTCATGGCAGGAGTGTTCATCTGTGGGGCTGGGCCCAGCAAGCACAGCTGAAGGGTGGGTCCCTGCTGGGGAACGGGGCTCCGCTGCACCCCGTCACTGCCATGCAGGGGCATCAAGGCCTCTCCCTGCTGTAGGTGACAAAGACACGAGCAAGCACCAGGAGCTGGTGTTGCCACAGTGCCTGGCTGGCCTGCGGAGCGTGCAGCTGGGGCAGGGAGTGCTGGTAGGAGCCCCACGGAGCTCTGGGAGCGGAGCCGGCATTGTCGGGGCATGGCTGTGGCTTTGCCATTTCCCTGGTAGGGCTCCGTCCTGACACGTTCAGGCTGTTTGTGTGGAGCTGTGGAGCAGCCTGTGAGCAGCAGGATGCTCGTGCTGCCTGGAGGAGATGAAGTGGTAAGGCCCAGCGACATTTGGGTGGGCTTGGCAGCATGTGCGCTGCAGAGCTCATCGCTGCTCTGAGGCCACCCCCCAGCTTCAACAGCGTCACATCCCGCTCCTGTCTGTGGGTTCCGGTCACTGCTCCTGGAGCTGCCCCCGTGGCCTGCATCAGGTTGGCTGATGTGACACAGACCTGTTGGAAAGGGCTGGGCCTGAATGGCTAGAGCTGGTGGACCGCTGGCACGTGCCCAGTTTGCCTGCTCATGCAAGGGCAGCGTGAGCCACCGATGACCCTAGGGCTGGGGAAGTGGTGACATCTGCACTGTGCGTGTTTGCTCCCCAGAGCCTGCAGGAGTCTTGCACTGGGCGCCTGCACTGCTCTGTGTCCAAGGCTGGTCCCAGGTATTGCCGTCTTGCCGGTGGCAGGAGGGAGCAGGGTGATGTGAGGAGGCTGGTGCCCAGGCTGCGGCTCTCCCTCCGTGCCCTGCTCTGCAGCCTGCTGCTGAGCTGGGGGGCTGCCTCTGCAGCCCTGGGCTCACGCATCACAGGATCCAGTGTCTTCCAGGAATAAACCTCCCAGTAAAGCACTTTCAGGACTCTTCCTTCCAGGTGCTGCTCAGCTCCTGCTACAGGACTAGGTGGGGAAGGGACAGGATCAGCGACTCCTGTGGCAGAGTCTTTTCAATAAAAGCATCCTGGCTCAAAGACAGCGTTGTCCTTGCAAACTTGTAGGGTGGGTGGGAGTGTGTGTGAACAAGCACCATGGTGGTGGGGTGCAGGTGCTCCTGTGCTGTAACTTGGGCTGCAGGGAGCACGGCCGTAGCTCCAGACAGATGAGCCACCTTGTTTCAACAGCTAACTTTTCGGAGGTACGTGTTAAAAATTAGGGGTGTCAGGCAAATAGGAGTTTTTAAAAGGCTCTGCTGCCCTGAAAAATGTTTACAGGTGCTAAGGTGGAGGGTCGGAGCACACATGTGCCTACTATCATGAGTTCTTTAACCAGACCAGAGGTGCACACCAAGAAACAAAGGACCATGACTGTGCAGCAGAGTTGAGGAGCTGGGGAGGCACCAAAAAAAATGTATGCCAAAATGCAGTGGCTGTGGCCAAATAAAAAAAAAGAGTGCAGAAGTCTGTCACATTAAATGTAAAATCAGGATGTAGTGTTGGGGCAAAAAAGACCCCCCCCCCCACACACCCCCCCCCACCCCAAAAAAACCCCAAACAAACCCAAGCCACCACTCCTTTCTCAGACCTTGGCAATGCAGGGAACTGCAGCGATCACTGCTGCACAGGAAGGGCAGCAGCAATGTTGGACAAAGGTATTTCCTGAGGCACATACACGCACACACCCTGCAAAGGAGTCTGGCAGCACCAGCCTGTGCCAGCGTAAACGCCTGCCGGCACCAGACCATGGAAATGCACACACATCCCCACCCGCCTGCAGCACCAGCACCACAGTGGCACAAGGACAGGACTGCATGGCTCACGCGGAGCAATTCTGGCACACCAGTTTAGGAGGTGGTGGGCAGTGTCACCACACACGTGGGTGATGGCAAACCCACTGAAACAGCATAGCCTTGGCAAAGGCTCCCACACACAAGGCTGAGATGAGCGCGGCGGGGAAGCTGTTCGCTCACTGCAGCAGCAGCTGGTTAAAGCCAGGAATAACAGCAGAACTGGCACCTGTGATGTCCTGCAAGAAGCCATACAGGGCTGCAGCATTTGGCACAGTCACAGCAAAGAGCACACTGCAGCAAGGGCGAGTCCCAGGGACAGCGGCTGTTCAAATGCCTGGAGCACGTCTGTCTGGAGGTGTGAGGGCTCACGGCCCTCCCCTGCGGCAGGAGACGGTGAACAACTCCTCACCGGACAAAAGTGGAGGGCGAGTGAAGCAATCAGCGTGTGCCGCATGAGCAGCAGCACTGTCCCCCCTCAGCGCACCTGCGGGTCTCTGCTGCAGGACAGCGTGGGTGCCAGGCGTCCTGGGTGCCAGGCGTCCTGGGTGCCAGGTGTCCCGGGTCAGCGCAGGGCAGCCACATGGAGGGCTGTTACACCCACACCACCACCATGTCAGCCATCCCTCGGTGCTGGAAGCCAAGAACCCAACAGCACCCTGCTCACCATAATAACCCAAATAATACCAACAGGTTGCTCTGTGCCCTCAGCGGTGGGAGGAAAGGCAGGAGACCACAGCTCGACATGCAAAACCACAGCCCTGCCTGCCCCGCAGGGCCCCGAGCCTCCCTGGAGCATGGGCCTTCGTGCCCCC